CCTCGAACGGCAATACGCTAAACCAGCCACCAGTCACCCATGCCCACCACTCCTGGGCCATCTGACCAGCGGAAAACGGACCCAAAAGCCGGGTTACAAGTCCCCACCGCGGCCGAATATAGCATACCTGGCCCACCACGCATCGTAACGCCAGCCGATTTGCCCAGACCTCAAGTTACGGAGACCAGCCGCTCGCCCACACAGAGGATCGTGCCAGTCATGGACCCTCCCATAGATGGACGACACCACAGCCACGCCGCCCACATCGCGGAACAGATTGGGAAATGTGGAATCAGGTTCGACGGACAGGACGACCCACTTGCATTTCTGGAACTACTCAAATAACGTGCGCTCTCATATGGGGTGGACACAAATCAGCTACATCGGGCCATGACAGAGCTTCTCACCGATCGGGCCAGTCGCTGGTACCGCACCAGCCAACTAAAAGGCAGCTAATGGGCATATTTCCGCCAAGAATCCTTGACTTTCTTCTTGCCGCCACGGTATTTTGAACAATTGGAAGACTGAATCCGGGCCCGCAAGCAAGCGGTAGGAGAATTGTTCAAGGATTACCTCATCGAGATACGTCTACTCATGCACCACGCCAGGTACGACGCAGCCATGGAACTGAACAGGATCTATGATAACGCCCTGCCAGCATACCAGATGTACGTGCGGTGACACGAACTACAAAGCTTAGCACAGCTCACAATGTTGGCCACCGAGTTCGAGAGCATCCAAGAGCGGACCATCCCGACCACTTTCACACCCCCGCGTAACACGCCAAGCCAGCGTCAGAGCAGAGGAATTGCGACTCGCACCAGGCACCATTTCTGAGTCCCCATTGGGAATCGACAGACACACCAGGGAGACCACCAGCTCATCCAAACAGTACGGCGAGTCCCGATATAGCACCTCGCATGATCACGACCCCTATCGCCAGCCCACGCACCGCCTGTCGCCGGTGTGGTGAAGCCGGGCATGCGGCATACGACTGCCATAGTCCCTCGATCCTATTCTGCTGGGAATGTGGCAAACGCGGCACACGGACCGTCGATTACACTAGTCAACACGATTTTTCCTCAAGGAACAAAACGAAATTTTTCTTAAAGATTTGGGGCTTAGAAATGGTTTGATGTTATTTTTTTTTTTCTATGGCAGAACTTTTTTTTGAAGAATTTTTGAAAACTGGTATTTTTTTTTTAAGCTTTTTTCAGAGGTAGCGCTTGTTTTTTTCACATAGCTCTAGTATCTTACGTCTGGTTGTAAAGAACTTTGCTATTTTGAAAAGATAATTAAAACAGCTAGAAGTTAAGCCCAAACACTTTGTGATTACAGCTTACCGTCTGGGAAATATAAAGCATTGAAATGCAAAAATGATGATTTTTGTGCGGTATTTTTAACGAAATTTTGACTTTAAAAACTCAGGAAAAGTCGAAAAAAAATTATATCTTGTGTCCTCTATTTTTTTGTGTATAGGTGCGTTAATTTGGCGTCCTTTAAGGTATCGCTCATTAAAATCTATGGAGAGACTTTGGAGCTAAAATTCGTTAACCAAACCTAAAAAATGGAAAAAATGAACAAAAAATACCTTTTTGAAGGCGGCGAGCCCAACTGCCAATTGGGAACAAAGCAAACGAGCAAGGGTTGTACATTTGGTACCTGATCGCGTTCCTTTGTTCCCAATGGGCAGTTGGGCTCGCCGCCTTCTACGTTTTAATATAATTTAAAAAAACCGACGCATTCAATTTTTTTATACCCGTACTCAAAGAAGAGTTAAGGGGTATATTGTATTTGTGGTAAAAGTGGATGTGTGCAAGGCAGAGAAGGAAACGTTTCCGACCCCTTAAAGCATATATTTACTTGATCAGCATCAATAGCCGAGTCGATTTAGCCATGTCCGTCTCGATGAGCGCTTAAATCTCAGAGACAATAAGAGCTAGAGCAACCAAATTTTGTTTCCAGACTCATGTGATATCACACTGCTACTTCAAAATTTCGCCCCGTCCTTTTACGCCCACACAAAGGACGATAGTCTGTGGCAGGCCAAATTTTAAAAATACGATAAAACTGAAAAGGCAGTATCGTAGAAAATGACCACATCTACCAGATTGCCGAAGCTGAATCAGATCGGATCATAATTACGGCCAAAATGAAGAAAATAATTTTCAGTTGCTTCCCCCGCCATTCATTCCCTTTCTGGCTCGCACACTCTTCCTCGTTATGTACGCGAGCGCCCTCTAGCGGAGGAGACGTAGAATCTAAATGGTACATGGTCAATCTACATGTAAGATGTAGAATATACATTGTAGATGTAGATAACATATGTACAAAAATAATTTAATATATACAATTTTTTTTTTTAATTCTAATATTCTAAAAAATCCTAAGCTCAAAAATGTATATACTGATTGAGTACGGGTATAAGTAGAGTCGCGTCTGCAGAAGCGACTCATACGTTCCTTCTCGTTTTTATTAAATCAATGCAGGGATGATCGGGTTTTGATCGCAGCTACGTTGCCACATTGATCAGGTACTTGATATTGAGTTGCATGTCCAGGACATGCACTCGAACACAGCTCCTATCCGCAACTCCGTTTATCTCCAGAGTAGTGATTTGATCTGTTTTGTTGGTGTCTTCCTTCTTGTTTACATTTCCGACCCCATAAAGTATATATATTCATGATCAGCATCAATAGCCGAGTCGATATAGCATGTCTGTCTATCCGTCCGTCTGTCCGTCTTGTTTGACGCCTAGTTCTCAGAGCCTATAAGAGCTAGAGCAACCAAATTTTGTTTGCGGACTCATGTGATATCACACTGCTAAAAGTGTACTTACAAATTTTGCCACACCCCCTTCCGTCTTCACAAAGAACGAAAATCTGTGGCAGGCACATTTTTAAAGATACGATAAAACTAAAAAACTAAAACTATCGTAGAGAATGACCATATCTATCAGATTGCCAAATCTGAATCAGATCGGATCATAATTATAGCCAGAATGAAGAAATTAATTTTCTGTTGGTTGCCCCGCCCCCGACAGCCAGAGAACCGCTACTCATTCTCTTTCTCGCTCGCACACTCTGCCGCGTTCAGTGCGCGAGCAACCCCCAGCGGAGGAGATGTAGAATATAAATGGTACATCTATAATCTACAAGTTATATGTATAATATACATTGTAGATGTAGATGTAGATAATAGATTTAGCAAAAAAAACGTAATATGTAAAATTTTTTTTAATTCTAAAATTTTAAAAAATCATAAGCTTAATAATGTATATACTGACTGAGCACCGGTATAAGTAGACTCGCGTCCCCAGAAGCGACTCACACGTTCCTTATCGTTTTATTTACTAACAAAGAACAGAATATGAGGGGTGTAAATTTGAAAAAAAAATAAAATTTTTGATACAATTTTGGCTCAGCCTAATGCACATGCAAGATGGGCTTTAGCGTTCAGCTTCTAACGCGAAGCTCCACGTCTAGCTTTTGAATTATGTTAGTAGATAAGAAGACCTTACTCAGTACGCACGTACATACATACCAATAAAACTATATTTGTTAAGACAAAATTACTACAAATTTGCTCACGACAAGGAAGTCGTAGCAACAACTTAAAAAGGGATTTACGCGCATCCACGCTTGCGGGGGACAATAATCAAACTGATATACGCAGAGACACCGAACCATGGCTCTGGCCACGTTTCTCCTCACAAATAGCGGTGCGTCAGCACCCCGGAAGAAAGAAGCAACGTACGCAATTATTAAAATTAAGAACTCTCGATCAACAACTCTACCTATGCTGCATTATTTCGCAATCAGCGAAGATAGCACAAAATGCTCGGTCACTCACCTCCTGGCGATCTTTCGCAACCATTCGGCCACAGATCATCAACTAACTACTCAACTTCCGCGATGCAGAGTTAGCAAAAACTCATTTTTGAAACCAAATACCCAATTCCCAACTGCACCTTCCGGGATGCAGCATCAGCAAAACCACCCTGACCCACTAAAAATTGTCAACGAAGCACCAAGCTTCGACCTAGTTACCACACCCCACAATTATCGTTATCCAATAACCTTAAGTCAGCAAGAATTAATTATTTCCGGGTCTCAGGTGCGATCGCCAGCTGCATAAAAGGGCCAAGATCGGCCGAAAGAGGTAGGCAGTCCATCAGCCCAAACACAAGACACTGCACAAGGCAGTCCCTCAGTCACACACCCAAGACACTGCACTACGCAGTCTCTCAGTCACACACCCAAACACAAGACACAGGCAGTCCATCAGCCCGAATACAAGACACAGGCAGTCCATCAGCCCAAACACAAGACACTGCACAAGGCAGTCCCCCAGTCACACACCCAAGACACTGCACTACGCAGTCCCTCAGTCACACACCCAAGACACTGCACTAGGCAGTCCATCAGCCCGAACACAAGACACTGCACTAGGCAGTCCCTCAGTCACACCCCCAAGACACTGCACTACGCAGTCCCTCAGTCACACACCCAAGACACTGCACTACGCAGTTCCTCAGTCACACACCCAAGACACTGCACTACGCAGTCCCTCAGTCACACACACAAGACACTGCACGAGGCAGTCCATCAGCCCGGACACGAGACACTGACTAAGCAATCCACCAGCGCACCATACAACTACAAGCCAGAGTAACAACGTAAAAGAATTAAGTGAATGAATAAATACTGAATAATCCAAGAACAACAAAACTCTCGCATCATCATTTCTCGCTTGCCTACTGCATTTTCAAGCCAGCCTGACACCTGAAGTCACTACAAATTTTCTTGTAGCGGACCCTGGACAGACTGATGCATACCTCAGCCTGAAATAGGACCTCACATCAGGTATAAAAGTATAGGCGCAGCTTATGCGGCGGTTCATAGCGTCCCGATCGTTTATTTAAAGTAATTATATCGATGTGCACCTTGATTTGTTTTTATTAATTTGGAGAATTTATTAAATTGTTAAAAAAAACTCACCGCAACAGTTGGGTTCTTTTTGACATTGCTCTAAATGCACACTAGTCTCATATGTCTGATGGTCACTGCACAGGCCTTTTAAATCATATATCTTATTAGAGCGGACCAGGTTGTGAATAAGTGCGAAGTGGGGATGTAGGTCCCACATCAAAAATTCATTTCTTTCCAGTTCTTCCAGTGTGTGTAACTCAACCATTCGAATAAATATCACTATGCCTAGTGTGAATAATATTGAATGTATTAAATATCCAGTACGGGGCTCTACCAAAAAGAAAGAAACGCAAAAATTCATGCACTGGGCACAAAAAGCAGCTACTAGTAATACGTTGATAAAAAACACTATAAAATTTAAATGTTTTAGAGAAAAATACTCTTTGCTATAAATAATCACTTACTGAAAACCTCCATGTTCATAAGAATGCCATGGTGAACAGCAATTATAGCTAAATTCAATGGCAGGCAGCATATTACTGTTTTAAGAACATCATATATAAAAGAGGCAATGCCTAGTCTGTAGATCGGCATTCCGGCAATTACTTCAATATGACCGTAGCGAATTCCACGCCAAATGGTAAAATATAGCAAAGGTAGAGTCCAGATAAAGCCGAAACAGAAGCACAGGCTAATAGTAAATATGAAATCATTATTGTCGACACCATGATGCGGCTGTACAGCATGAGTTGTTGTGTAAGGTAAAAGCTCCATTTCCACATAAATCCTTGATTCGGATCCCACAAAAGCACTGTAAAGATGAACGAGCTTTATAAATAAATGATTAACTACAACACTACTCAACAAAATCGAACTTTTTTTCCTCAAGGATCCAAACCGACTTTTTCTGATAGATATGGGGCTTTAAATTTTTTTAAAGAACTATGGTTTTTTTTCTGTTGCAGAACTTTTTTTTTACTAAGTTTTGAAGTCTGGTATTTTTTGTTAATGCTTTTTTCAGAAGTAGCGCTTCTTTTATAACACATAACAAAAGGTATATTTTTTTAATTTTGTTCATTTTTTTGGTTTGGTTAACGAATTTTTGCTCCATAGATTTTAATGAGCAAAACCTTAAATGCCGCATAATTAATGCACCTACACACAAAAAAATAGAGAACACACGATTTTTTTTCGACTTTTCCTGAGTTTTTAAAGTCAATATTTCGTAAAAAATACCACACAAAAATCATCATTTTTGCATTTCAATGCTTTATATTTCCCAAACGGTAAGCTGAAATCACAAAGTGTTTGGGCTTAACTTCAAGCTGGTTTATCTTTTCAAAGTAGTAAAGTTCTTTACAACCAGACGTAAGATACTAGAGTTATGTGAAAAAAAGAAGCGCTACCTCTGAAAAAATCTTTAAAAAAAGACCAGTTTTCAAAAATTCTTAAACAAAAAGTTCTGGCAATGAAAAAAATATCATCAAACCAATTCAAAGCCCCAAATCTTTAAGAAAAAGTTGGTTTTGTTCCTTGAGGAAAACTCGTGTCGACTAGTGTAATTAACGTACAAGGCCAGGACATTCATAACTAGTGCCAAACTATTCGGAGCAGTGTGAAGCCATTTGTTGTTAAACAGGGCCTCAACTTTGTCTTCATTAAATAAAGCTGCAGCAATAAACTTCATATCGGTTAGCATATAACGGTCGGCAGAATAGTTTCGCATATATTCCATAATATCCTTATCTGTTCCTAGTTCGGTAGCGCCTTTGCTGGCGTATTTATTGCCTGCGGTTAGTAGTGGCATACCCGTAGCTTTTAGTTGCACTAGAATAGTGGCTCTACCGATGCGGCTTACGGGGAATGACTTAATTTTCATATTCGGTCGTAAGTGCGGAATACTTAGGGCCCAGATGGCCATCAGTGTTGGCAAAAATAATTGCAGCATTGGCAGACAGTATAATCGAATATCTCTGATAAGACTTTTGTTTAGAACAATCAAAGTGTGTTTACGCCATAAAGGATTAATCTGTTTTTTACTGAGCTCAAAACGGCACTCCTTGTCTTCTCGTATTCTGTAGATCAATCCATTGAACTCTTCAATGCTGGCAGCCGCGTTATCTATTTGTTCAGTTTTCAGAACATTATAGAAAGTGATATCAAGAGAGCAGTCCTTGAGATAAAAGTGGTTTATATTCAAGTCCCCTTTACATTTTTGCAATTCATCAAGTAAATTAGTTAGATAAGATAAGTTACTATACATTATAACGAAGACTGTACAATCGCCCAACCTTGATTCAAGTTTAATACTAGGAACGTAATATTCTAAGAACATAAGCAATTTACCAACATCGCACTGTTCTTTACCGAAAAAAACCTGCAAAATAAAAACACAAATATCACTTGTATGCTGTTGAGCTACTGACCCTTTTCAATAGCCGTTGAAATTAATTAAAAGAATCGAGCGGGTTCGATTTAATTCAGGTATATTATATTATTATGCGAAGTTTTTTGGTTTATATGCCGATAAAATTATTGATACGAAAAATAGATCTACGAAGGGACAAACTGCAATTAGGACTCCCTTGAAAAGCTCCAGTGTCGATGAAGATTGTAAAGATGAGAAGGCTACAGAGGTTGTTCATCTCGAACAAAAGTTCTGATGGAAGAGTGCCTCTGGGTTCTGAGGTTTGGAATGTAGTGCCACTCCATCTGACCATTCCACTCCTGAATGGAATTTAACAAAAATGCTAAACATTGGTGAGTCATTGCGGAACATTCCGAGACAAGGCAGTTGTGGAGTCGGGCCAGCAATAGGAGATTCAAGTAAATAATTGAAGTTGGAGTATCTCACTGATCAATTAGAAAGTAAGTCACCGTTCAATAACTCTAACTTGGGCACCGTCAATGCCTTGAGAGCGGCAACACGAAACTTCACGTAAAGACGTTGAAGGTACGCGCCATTATTGGTCCTTGAAACGATGTTAATACATGCGCCATACGGGTCTAGGCCAGCGTCACAAAACCCGTGAACTTCTATGACGCTGAGGGGTAGACTAAGTCTTGCAGAAGGTGGTCCACGCTGACGACAGAGACTCTGGCAAACTCTCATCCTATTGAGGCTGCTCCTTCCACATCAGCTGAAGGAAAATCTTTGCCTTTGCGATGACAGGTCCAATCAGTCCTAAGAGATCATAAAAATAAGCAATATTGTTTGAATATGGAACGCTTTGTGGGCTTTGATGACAGCGGTGTGGATACTACCGAAAAGAAAACTTCATCGGCTGTAGGGACTTTGTGAATTCGGACCGTTGAACCTCAGCAGCGTTTCCTTATGCTTGTAAGGAGCTTCTTCAAGCACGGCAAAAACGCTGGAGCAACGTGTCCAAATTAAGAAGTTTCCCCAAGCCAACAACTGGGATGTCTGCTTCAACTTCTCACGCACTTCCTCTATATATAAATTTCCTACAGTCATCAAATCGTCGACATAGAAATTGTGAGTCAACACTTCTGAGCCAATTGGGAATGCCGTCTTTTCGTCTTCGGCCAAATGGGGCATAGCGTGAATTGCAAGATAGGAAGCCGGCTTGTTTCCTTATGTTAAAATGTATAGTTTGAACGTCTTTAAATTCTCGTGAGGCGAATCTCTCCATAAGATGTACTGAAGGTAATTATTCGGCTCAGTTACCCGGACACACCTGTAATGTGGTCAGTCAGCGCAATTGGAAACGTACGGAACAGAAGTAACATATGGAAAGGCTTTGGTTGGATAGTAGGCCACGCCATTAGAACCTCGTTAAAAAAAAAAACAGTTGATACTGTGGCAGAGCCAATTTACTGGTTTTTCTGTCCTCCATAAGCACGCTATGATCCGGAAACAAATAACGACAGCGACTGAACAGATTTGATTCCACCAACGACACGTGATTAAGCTCTTGGTACTCCGTAATAAAGGAAATTTTAGATTATGGCGGTAGCTGGGGAGAGAAGAAATGAGGAACCGACTTCTCCTCTTCCTTGTCCCTAAAACTACTACAGATTTCCAACTCGAAATTTTCCAATCAGACACATCGACTGCAAAGCTAGGTTGCTGCTAGCTGATTCTGGATGCTACCAAAGCTACGAAGCTGGTACTGGAGTCAGTACCACAGTATAGCCCTCCGATAGCCCTTTTCGATACAACAGCTGATCGGTGCTGTGCAAAGACAAATACTGCAAGCTGCGGTAAAGAGGCAATGCTAAGGGGTGCCAATGGTAATGGAGCATACCAATGGGTATTCTTTCGTCCAGTCGGGACACCCTCATAAAAAAAGGGTCACAGCATCAGTCATTGCAGACTTCGACAATCTTCTCCGCGCCGCGGGGTGCGGGCATCCCAACGCCTAAGCAAAAAAGGCGGAAACAGCATGGGAATGAAAGCCCGCGCGGTGCGATGGAGAGAAATGACGCCGAAACTGCATGCACGAGATTGCAGGTGACTCCCAGCGCTGCCGGAGGCGAGAGCTGGACTATAGTGGCCAAGAGAAACCAGAAGGCGGATAGCTCTCAGCCGAAGGAAAATCCAGCGCGTGTCGAGAAGAACAGGTTGTCGGCAGCCGGTGCCAAAAAAGGTTGCCACCTGGCTTAGGACTGCCATAAGGAGCCAGAGTGCATGTTCTGCAACGGAAAGAAAAAGAACACAAAACACATTGTTGGCAGCAGTAGGTGCCCCACCTTTCGGAGCAATCTTGCAAACCAAACACGATGAAGCTTACCCAAATTAACCTTAGCCACTGTGAGGCCGCGCAGGACCTCCTTATGCAATCAGCGCGTGAGAGACGGACGGACGTGGTGCTGATTAGCGAACCATATAACCGTAAGGCACCCACGCGATCAATGATACCTGCTCTGGCAGTGAAGGTTTTGCTCGATCCAGAAAAGAAGGGGGCGGTTAAATGGGGCAGCCGAGACACCAATGCGAGAGCATCCTGCCTCCTAGAGGCATTCGCGCCTCTCAATGTGGGCATAGCCAACGACGGCAGGAAGCAGACGTTCAGAAAGTCAGGTAGAAGATATTTTATTGACATCACCCTTCTAAGCGTATCCCTACTTCGCAGTAGGGACCGCAAATGGACCGTCAACGAGGACCTGCACACCCGGAGTAAAAAGGTCACGCCGAAAACTACCGGCCCAAATTGGAAAGCTGGCGGCTTGGATGTGGAAGCATTCTCGGACACATTCAGCCAACCAGATTGGATACAGGGATCGGCGAAGGATAGGACAAACGATCTTGGACGGAAGATTGCAGAGGCGCGTGACGCATCATTGCCACGAAGGAGAGCAAGCAACCGGGCCGCTTCATGTTACTGGTGGCATGACCAGCGGTCCTAGAAAGCAGTGTCAGCAAGCGAGAAGACGCTCCCAAAGGACCAGGACAAGGACAATGTATATTCTACATCTAACAGGTAGATTCTACATGTACCATTTATATTCTACATCTCCTCCAATAGGGGTTGCTCGCGCTTAGCGTTTCCTTCTCTGCGTTGCACACATCCACTTTTACCACAAATGCAATATAACCCTTAACTCTTTTTTGAGTACGGGTATAAAAATTGAATTCGTCGGGTTTTTTAAATAATAATGAAACCTAGAAACTAGTTCATATTGATAACTAGCTGTACCCGGCCACGTTTCACTGTGGCACATTGTGGTTGCATGGATGAGAAGTGAGTCGAATAATAAGTTCAACATAAATTTGGATTTGCAAGAATTGGAGGGTATACACAATACACAATATTCCATTCCCGTTTCCAGCATCTTCAGTTGATCGAC